GCCTCCCCGCTCTTTCTTTCCCCTTTGGTCATCATAAGTTTGTTTTCTGTGTTTGTGAGTCTAACAGGTGAACATTTCGGGGAACATTTTGAAGACAAGGGCTGTGTTTCCCCTCCTCTCCCTCTCTCAGTGTCCTCATATATGCCTGCTACATAATTTCTAGCTAGTAAACTGGTTGGAATGTTTCTTTGTTTGCATAAATGGTGTCTTGAACACTTTACCTGTTTAAGAGTTGTGTTTTACTTGTTGATTTCTTTTTGGTTGTGTTCTTTGTATAGTTGCACCATTGTAAGATCATCTCTCATGAGGTGTGCCAATCTAGCACTGGGTTGTCCTCCTAGGAGAGAATTTTAGGAGGAACACTTGTTATATTTACAGTGTTCTGTTTAATAGGGTCTTGTTGAAGTTGTATATGAAACTGTATTGATGAAGATTTTGTTAAAATTTAAAATTTGAATGTCTCTTAAAAAATATTGTTACATGTTCCTTACGTTGTGATTATTCAAAGTGAGAAAACCTCAAGTGTATTTGATGCTATATAAAAAATAGCACAGGAAGATTCAAAGACATTAAATTACCATAAAGTGATCTGAGTAATTTGTGCTTTTGCCAGTGGTTTTAATTGTTTCAGTTTTACTAGCAAAGGAAGGGAAGACCTCATAGTTAGTTGTTAGTACCTACAAATATTAATATAGTTTAATGTTAGTTTGCCTCAGTCATGAAGATCATTGTTTGCTGAATGTTACTGCTGCAAGGTACTCATGTGATTCTGTGACAGAAAGCCTCCCTCCTGTGAAGGCTGTGCTGTCTCAGAACATGGTGACTTCAGAATCTGGACACTCTAGCAACTGATGCCAAGTGGCATGTGGTAGTGGCATCATCAGTATGTAGTTGAATTTTAGAGCTGTGGGCCTGAAAAGGGCCCCATGCATTTCTGCAGCCTGACCTTTTGCTGCTGTGGGCCATTGTTTATGATTTCAGGGCACAGAACTTGGGATGGAGTTGAGCCATGGTTGTTGAAGGACACGTGGTACTTTTAGTTTCACTGCTGGTGCAGTTTATCTCCATCACTTCACAAATTAGTTTGTGGTGTTCAGAGTGGGCACGGCAGAAAGACTGAGTAATATGATTTGGGACACAGAATGTCCTTTTTTTAAAAAAAATTTTCAGGGACTTCCCTGGTGGCGCAGTGGTTAAGAATCTGCCTGCCAGCACACGGGGTATGGGTTCGATCCCTGGTCTGGGAAGATCCCACATGCTGCGGAGCAACTAAGCCCGTGCGCCACAACTACTGAGCCTGCACTCTAGAGCCTGCGAGCTACAACTACTGAGCCCATGTGCCACAACTACTGAAGCCCATGCGCCTAGAGCCCGTGCTCCGCGACAAGAGAAGCCACCACAATGAGAAGTCTGTGTACCGCAGCGAAGAGTAGCCCCCGCTTGCTGCAACTAGAGAAAGCCTGCGTGAAGCAACGAAGACCCAACTCAGCCAAAAGTAAATAAATAAATTAATTAAAATTTTTCCCCAAAAATTTAAATTAGGAAATATTTCAAAGATACAGAAAAATAATAGTAAAAAATAACTGAAACATATAGCTAGCACTGTTGTAGTGCTCGTTCTGTTTATCTTTTTGATATATTAACTCACTAATCCTAGGGGTAGGTTGTATTATGATCCTCCTTTTAACAGACGGAGAAACTGAGGTACAGATAGTTACACATTTGGCAAATAACAGAGCTGGGATTTGAACTTTGGCAGCCTGGTGCCAAAGTGCATGGTCACAACCAATGCAATACACTCTGTTGCCTTTCAGAAATACTAAAAGTAATATGACGGACATGAATGATACTTAGCGCCTAATTTTAATAAAGGTTAGCATTTTTCTATACAGTTGACCCTTGAACAACAGTGGGGCTAGGGGCACTGATCCCCCCGCCCCACAGTTGAAAATTCGTGTATAACGTTTGACTCTCTCAAAACAACGACTAATAGCCTACTGTTGACCTTACTGACAACATAAACAGTCGATTAACACACATTTTGTTTTATGTATTATATGCTATATTCTTAAAGTAAGTTAGAGAAAAGAAAATCATAAGAGAAAATACATTTACGGCACTGTACTGTGTTTATTGGTACCACAAGTTTACATCACCTGTTTACAAGATGAATCATCTCTCAGTACCTACATCAGTATGATACAAAACACTGTAGATGTTGTATGTGTTACTAACACTAGACATCAAAAATGGAAAGAAAATGTGAAAAAGGAATTCATATTTATTTACAGTGCATTTCAAGCATTAATAACAAAGAGGCAGCAGTATGATGGAAACCTAGTGTAATTGATACATCTGCTTCTCGGTAGCCCACCTATACACTGATGGATGAATTGTTATAGAATTTTTATGGTAAACAGTATTACAGTCATATTCATAATACAGTTTTGGAAACATTGTTGCATTTTAAACACCACCACTTACCTGTGATGATAGACTGATCTGCAGGCTCTCCAAGTACTGGAGAGAGAGAGAGAGAGAGAGAGGGAGGCATACTATAATGTAACTCTATGAAAGCAAAGTAAGAAAATGAACACATTATTAATTTTATTTTATTTTTTCATTTTATTTTTTTATTGAAGTATATAGTTGATTCATTTATTAATTTTATATTATATATCACCTAACCTTGTGCCTGTGTAAGGATAGGCTATCCAGTTCAGTGTAAGTCTTGCACACGATCTTGTACACATATATTTTTGTATATTTGTTGGAAAAAAATCCACACATAAGTGGGCCTGTGCAGTTCAAACGTGTGTTGTTCAGAGGGTCAGTAGTATTAATATTTGGTTCAGGTTTTTTTTTTTTTTTTGAAATAACCCTATTAGACAAAACCAAGTGTGAGAGGTTGTATTAGACAATTGTCTTTGATCTTTTCTTGTCCCATCAAATTGTTTTTCTGACTGTCAGCATCCCTCCCTTTCAAACACTGGTTCCTTCCCCAGCAGTTTGCCAGTGATTGCCTTTTCTTACACCTGGTAAGAACTCTTTCAGCAGATACTTATGGAGTGTCTGCCACAGCCAGGACTGTGCCAGGGTGGAGATAAAATCAAGAAGAAGGACCCTGGGGCTTCCCTGGTGGCGCAGTGGTTGAGAGCCCGCCTGCCGATGCAGGGGACACGGGTTCGTGCCCCGGTCCGGGAAGATCCCACATGCCGCGGAGCGGCTGGGCCTGTGAGCCATGGCTGCTGAGCCTGCGCGTCCGGAGCCTGTGCTCCGCAACGGGAGAGGCCACAACAGTGAGAGGCCCACGTACCGCAAAAAAAAAAAAAAAAAAAAAGAAGGCCCCTGTTCTGGTCATCCTGCAATTTATAATCTAACAGTGTGGGAAGGTGGGCTTCTTTAAGTACGAGGTGGGTGGTGTGGCTGGTGAGCGAAGTGGCCCCTGTTAAAAGCACAGACTTAGGTGCAGTGCAGTGATTCTAGTGATTTCTGGCCTGCTTGTTAGCTTCTCTGGACTTCTTTAGCCTTGGGTCAGTCATTCACTTCGTTTATATTTGTTATTTGGAATTTACTTCCAGAAAAATGGTTCAGTTGAAGATGATCCGGAATTCTTAAAGTTCAGTATATATTGCCTCCCCTGGGCTCTGGGTTGGCTTCAACTCTGCTTTTGGGTCTGGCGAGCCCTGGAGTCGAGGACTTGTGGGTCCACTTGGTTTGTGTGCTTCGGTAGAACTTGGGAGTGCCCTCAGATGGGTCTTGCCTTTTATAAACTCCTTCTTGGGCCTGACGGGTCTCAGGGCCTGGCCTTGCCCAAACTCTTGTGACACCAAGACCTTAGTTCCTTGGAGACTGAGCAGTAAGGCATGATTTAAGTGGCCCTGACTTGCTTTTTTTGTCTCCCTAAACCTTATTTATTTAATGTGTGTTCAAAAATAGTAAAATTAACATACGGTTAAAATACATTTAAAAATCATAAAATTAATTTATTAGAACTTGGAATGTATTAATTACATCAAAAAATTTAGTATCAAGCATCTTGAAATAATTTGTAAAATAGCATGAATTAATAAAGTTGCTTTCAGCACTGCTAGGAAGTGTTTTTATTCCTTGGGAGCATTACTGCAGAATGATGGCTCCTTGTCTCGACCTGACCGCTTGGTACAGAGGGCCTGCTGAGAAGGGGGGTACTCAGGAGTCTTTCCAGGGTCACATTTCCAGCAGATGGTTCCGGGGGGTGGTCCCCACCCCACTTTTTTTTTTTTTTTAATTTAGGAGATAAGCAAATGCTTTTGGAACAGATGGTAGTATTTTGGCATTCATTTTAGTTAAGACTTTTGGAATCCATCATAAAGAGTATCTTGACAGAAGATGGGCTCGTTCTGAAATGAGATGATAGAGAGCTGCTTCTGTCGGATACTCTCAGTACCTGGCAGTAGCTCTTCTAGACATGTGCCATGACACTTTAAGAAAATTATGGAATTCCCTAACCCCCCCCCAAAGTTCATGAAGTTTGGGAAGTAAGTACATTTTTTTGAGAGGCAGCTCTGGAATTAGAGCCTGCATATTTAGATTTGGGTTCTTTTTCTGTTTACTAGCTGTTTGGCTCTGGGCAGCTTAATGAACTTCTCAGGGCCTCAGTTTTCTCATCTGCAAAACAGGGATAATATTTACTTCCTTTGTAGGATTTTTGTAAAGATTAAAAGAATATAAAAGCACCTTAAAATTATTAGGGATACACAAGTGTAATTCATGTGTTAATATATGAATTTTTCCAGTAGAAACAGGCATAATATTTTGTTTTTGTAACTGCTTGCTTATCTGAAATTAGCATTTGATTCTTAGTCATCATGAGGTTGTTTTTTTTTTTTCTTTAATTTCACGGGTGTATTTTCAGTCTTGATATTTTAGGACTTGGAGAGCTTATAATAAAAGACATTAATGGGATATAGAGGAGAGTATTATTATCTAAACATGTGTTGATGACTTTGTGCTTTTAGGTATACCAAGCTTGGCTACGCAGGCAACACTGAGCCACAGTTCATTATTCCTTCATGTAAGTAAAGCTCCACCCTCGGTTTATAAAGGATTGTGTTTCTTATAATTGTTCTAAACATTCTAATTCTGTTTTTCACGGTATATGAATTTACTTGCCGTCTTCTTTTAGATGATTGCTCTGGTTACTGGGGAGTTATTTATGTTGCCATCTGGCTGCTGAGTATTGCTATCGGCCGTAGCTGTCACCTAAACCCTCCCAACTTTCTAGTCCTTTGATTCTCTTCTGATACAGTCCTTTGTCGCAGTCATTGGAGTTTCAGCTTGGGTGGTTGGCAGAGGCCTTCATTCAGTCATACATGTCTCAGCTACTTAAAAGACGTATATGTGGTTCCTTAAGGTTAATTTGTAATTTTAAGTAAGTACAGTTTTATTAACTTAGCACTTTGGTGGACTATCTATTGTATTACACTATTCGCTTTATTGAAAGGTATATATTTTTTTTTTGAAAGGAGAGGCCTGTTTTATTAGGTTCTGAAGTGTTCTGTTTTTGTTTAAATGTTAGTCAGTAGAGCATAATAAGGGAAGAAACGTCCACATTTTGGCCAGAGTGCATCCTGCCCAGTCTTTATTCACAGGAGACCCCAAGGTCAGGTTGGTTGTCCACAGGGTAGAATTCTTCTCTGAAACTGTTTAACTTCCGGGTTATTTTTTGGAGACCGTTTACCAAAGAGGCAGGTATGTCAGTCAAGAGTGGAGTGAAGTTCTGCCTCCTAAATGTAGCCCTTGTAAGATAAGTCACGATCTTAGAAACTGTAAGCTGTCGTGGGCGCAGGGACTTCTGAGCAACAGGCTGTTTGACCCCGGTAGAGCGTGAGTAGCCTCGCAGAGCGACGGGGAAGGAGCTGAGTTCTTAGTATTTGTTCAAGGGAGACCAAAGCCTTTCTGGTGGATACGGGTATTCAGATTGCTAGAAAGTGCGCCCTCATTCCTTGAGAACATTTAACTCACCTCATTCCAGGTCCTTGCTTGCTGGATAACTGATCATGAACTTGATTTTCTAGGTCTAAATACTTGGTTACTATGATGGGGTGTCCTTGACAATAGGCACGCTTTGTCTGCTGGTCCTCATTTTAAATTCATGGTTTGTTGTATTAGTCTGGTAGGGCTGCCATAACAAAATACCGTAGACTGGATGTCTTAACCAACAGACATTAATTTTATCACAGAATAGAAGCTTGAAGTCCAAGATCAAGGTGCCGTCAGGGTTGGTTTCTGGTGAGGCCTCTCTCCTTGGCTTGTGGATGGTGCCTTCTCACTGTGTCCTCACATGGCCTTTTCTTGTGTGTGTGCATGGCTGAGAGAGAGACCTCTGGTATCTCTTCCTCTTCTTATAAGGACCCCAGTCCTGTGGAACTGAGGCTCTACCCTTATGACCTCATTTAACCTGAGAGGTCCCATCTCCAAATACAGTCACATTGCGGGTTAGGGCTTCAACATAGGAATTTTGAGGGGACACAGTTCAGTCCATAACAATTGGCATTCTGTAGGATAGATCAGTCTTCTGTGAATTTTATATTGTGAATGCCAGAGAACTGGATCATTCCATGCTGAATTGGTAAATTGGAATTGGACTTTCTGATTTTTCAAAGCAGATTAGTTTTAACCTTGTGAAGTGCAGCAGCTCTAAGAGGATTACCTTGCACCTCTTGCTTTAATACAGTTGTCGGCAGCATTCAGTTGGCTGCACCACTTCACCGGTCATCATTAACAGAGAGGGGATTGAAGTCAGCTATTAGCAGGATTCCATTCACTGTCAGCAGGCGCGGCAGCTCTCACGTTGGTGCTGAGAACAGCAGTGGTGGAAGCTAGAAAGAAAAAGGTCAAGGAGGCAGGAGTAAAGGAAGAGTTATACCCTTGGCTGAATTTGTTGCAAGAGTTAGAGAAGCCGTGGGGCACAGAAGGGAGTGCGTTGGGACAGGTGGGCAGAGGACCTCGGGTACCTTGGGCAGCAGGCCTGCTGCGCTCTCAGTCCTGGCAACTGAACCCTGTTTGTCGTTACAGAGGCTCTGTTCACAAGGTGAAGTTCAAGATGCAAAGTGGCTTCCAAAGAGAGAAGGGAGCTTGTCTGTACGTGTGTGGCTGTGTGGAGAGTGCCAGGACAGGGCCTTTCTGGTTCTGGTGGGCACAGAGGGGAGGCACCCCCCAGGCAGAGGGTGGTGGGAGAGCAGGCTGGGAACGTGGAGAAGTGCCAGCACTTGTATCTTAAGGAATTGTCATTTTATTTTGCAAATGGGGAACCTTCGCATTGTTTCCCAGGCTCCCTCAGGGACCTTGCCCCAGGCTAGAGAGTCGCCGGGCCCTGTCCTGGTCCACCAGGGCAGCCTTGCCTGTATCTTATTTATTTGAGCTTCTGTGCAGAATTTGCTTGATTGTTTGAAGAAAGGTTTTCTCTACCTATTTTTTTTTTTTCCTTTAAGTTGTTGGAGAAAGTTGAGAGTCATTGAAAAGTTTCAGGCAGACGAGTGTATGTGTGGTGATCACATCCATAGAAAGAGGATGTGGGAGGGGTCAGGAGAAAGTAAGTACATTTTAGACAGTTGATGTTTGAAGAGTTCAGGTGTAAACGTCCTGTAGGCAACTGGGTAAAAGGTTTGATGCTCTGGGGAAAGGTCTAGACAGGAGACAGGGATTGAGCCCAGAGATGCTTTTGTTTCTGAATGTCTTTTAAATCTTTATTTTGGAAAACAAAAGAAAGAAAGAAAGAAAGAAAGATAATATAACAAAGACCCATTTACCTACCACCCAGAATGAACCAATGTTAACACAATTGCATCTTGTAAGTACGTAATACAGGCATACATCCGTGTGAGTGCCAGCCCCCTTTCCTCTCCTCCAGTCCTTCCCCGCTCTCCCTCCTTTGCTGGACATTAGCTGTATTCAGTCCACGCTTCATCCTTTTGTTACAGATGCAGGATACAATGACAGTATGTAGTATTTTGTGAATTTAAACATTTCAAAAATGATAATTATACTATAAATAACTTTCTGCATTGTTTTTTTTTAAATCCTCAATATTTTGTTTTTAAGATGTATCAGTGTTGCTATATACGGATCTGGATCAAAAATCTAATACATGAATCTACATTTGGGCATTTTCCAGTTTTTTCTCTGTTGTACAAAATGATACAGTAAGTATCTTCTTAGCCACATGTGCTAGTTTCCCAAGAGAAAACATGAGAAATGGGGTTGTTTCATCACTCAGGTATGCACCTCTTCAGCCTTGTCAGATATTGCCAAACGGCTTTTCCAAGCGCCTGGACTGATTTAAATGCCCATCAGTAGTGGATGGGAGTTTCTGATTCTGCACATCCTTGACGACAGTTGATCTTATTTGACTTAAATTTTTGCCAGTCTAATGAATGTAAAATGATGTCTTATTTTATAAGTCTGCATTTCTCTGATTACTAGGAAGGTTGAGCACCTTTCATTGTCTGTGTATTTGCCCATTTTTCTGTTGCATTTTTTTTGTCTTTTTTATGGAGTTACAGAAACTCTGTGTATACTTTGAATACTAATGTCTTGTAAATATCCTCTTCTATTTTATTTATTTATTTATAATTAATTAATTTATTGTTGGCTGTGTTGGGTCTTCGTTGCTGTGCGTGGGCTTTCTCTAGTTGTGGCGAGCGGGGGCTACTCTTCGTTGCGGTGCGCGGGCTTCTCATTGCAGTGGCTTCTCTTGTTGCGGAGCACAGGCTCTAGGTGTGCAGGCTTCAGTCGTTGTGGCACGTGGGCTCGGTAGTTGTGTCTCTGGGCTGTAGAACGCTGGCTCAGTAGTTGTGATGCACGGGCTTAGCTGCTCCGCGGCATGTGGGATCTTCCCGGACCAGGGCTCAAACCTGTGTCCCCTGCATTGGCAGGGGCATTCTTAACAACTGCGCCACCAGGGAAGTCCCTCTTCTCCTATTTTAAGATGTCTTTAAAATTATTTTTTAATCCCAGAAGTTTAAAAGTTTCATGTAGTTCAGTTTTGCAGTCTTACCTTTTTTATAATTTGTTTCTATTAAAAAAATGCATTTATAGTCTGAAGTCATAAAGACTGTCTGAATATTCTTCTAAGAAAAAAAGTTTTTTTTTTATGGTGTGGGAGAGAGAGTTAATTTAATTGTTTTCCAAATGGAAGGCCAGTTGCCCCAGCACCACTTATTGGAGGGTGCCTCTTCAATCATATTGAGGCACTGTATATGGTTGGGAATATTTATGGTGTTTTTCTGTTGCAAATTCATACTGTATTAAATACTATTACTTAGGCATGTCTCTTTATATCCGGTAGGTCTGGTTCCTTCTCCTTTTTCTTTTTCAGAGTATCTTTGGCTATTCTTAGGCCCTTACTCTTTATCATAAATTTTAGAATCAGTTTAAGGTCAGTGAAAAATTATGATGGGATTTTGATTAGAGACACATTGAATTTGTAGATTAATTTGGGAAAAACTTGATATCTTGGGGCTTCCATGATGGTCCAGTGGGTAAGACTCCACACTCCCAATGCAGGGTGCCTGAGTTCGATCCCTGGTCAGGGAACTAGATCCCGCATGCATGCAGCAACTAAAGATCCTGCATGCCGCAACGAAGATCCCGCATGCTGCAACGAAGACACGGCGCAGCCTAAATAAATAAATATTTTAAAAAATTTGATATCTTTATGAATTGAATTTTTCTATCCAGGAATATGGTATATATGTTTTATTGTTTATTCATGTTTCTTATGTTTTTCAGTAATGTTTTTCAGTATTCTTTAAAAAGCTCATACATACCTTTTGCCATATTTATTTTTAGGTACCTTTATGGTTTTTTGCTGTTGTGAATTTTTTTTAAATTAAATTTTCTAATTGTCGCCACCATAGTAGGAATGCTGCTGAATTTTTAAAGTTGTTTTTGAATCCAACAGTCCTGCTGCCCTGTCTTATTTGTTCGAATAGCTTGCAGGTTCTCTTAAGTTTTCTATGCAAGCTATTGTATTAACTGCAAATAATGGTTATTTTGTCTCTTCCAACCCCA